CCTTTCCTTTCCTTTCCTTTCCTTTCCTTTCCTTTCCTTTCCTTTCCCTCTTCTAATCTTACAGCCACTGACACCTTCTCTCTCACAAAAAAATTCACCCTGATTTATTGTATATGTGTCTATTTGTGTACCTGCTATCTCTCCCAATAGAGTGTAAGCTCCTTTAGGGCAGGCCCTGTTTCATCTCGTCTTTGTATTCCGAGGGCCTGGCACATTGTGTGCCCTTTCTAAATACATGCTGATTGACTTATTTTGCAGAGGACCTGGCTTGAACACTGTGGGCCTGTTGTCTCTTTGGTAGATGGTCAGATGATTGGATTGGAGTGATGAGTCCCACAAGAATGCTCATTGGCTTGGGATATGGTCCCTTTAAACAAGTCCTTTGAAGTACAACAAGACCAACCCAGCAGGGCTTGCTTTAAATGGGTCACTTTCTATTTTAATCCTGATGTCCTCGCCAACTTGTTAGCATGTGAGCAGGCCGACAGGAAGGGGAGGATCAGACGTCTCATAGCAAAGGGTTAAGTAAATACTGGGCACCATTTTTGACAGATGGGGTCCTGAAGGGCAGCACACCAGATGTCACAACATCCTGAGCCCATGGCTCCCCATTTCATTAAAAAGTGTTGTTCTTACTCAGGACAAGCCTCCTAATGTTACTAAGATTCAATTCAATTAAACAAAGATTGATTAAGCACCTACTATGTGCTACTGTGTGTGCTAGGTGCTGGGGAAAGAAGCAGTCCCTAGGTTAGAAGAGTTCCACACATCTTGGGGTGGGGCTGGGGGACGACAGATCGCTTAAAATGAGTAAGGAAAGGGGGCAGGACAGATAGAAGGCTTCTATATGTGAAAAGTCACAGGGTCATGGGATTTATATCTGAAAAGGACCTCAGACACCACCTAATCTAATCCCCTAATTTTACAGATGAGGAAACTGAGGCCCAGAGAGGGTAAGGGATTACTTAAAGTCACACAGCTAATTGTGTAACCATACCAGCACTCAAACTTACTTCTTCTCACTCAGAATACAGTTATACTCCATCATACTTCCTCCTTGGAGGAAAATGAGATGGCGGATACCCAAGGGAGATGGCAACACCAACCAGTGGAAATGGGAAGCCCGTGGAATTATAGTTGGATTGAACATGTTGGATTGAAATGCCTTCATCATTCTCTAGCCCAAAATCAATAGTGAGAACTTACTGCAGGTCCTGGGGGGCCCTGGGGCCCTGGTGGTCCAGATATCTGAAAGCCAAAAGAGGAAGACATCAGAAAAACAAAGGTTTTGCCAAATAATTCTGAAACAACAGAAGGCCTTCTTACAATGTCAAAGAATCATGGGATGGGAAGAGACTTTCAAAGTCAAAGCTGTAGGGTTCACTTTAAAGGATCAGGGTCTGAGTTGGGACTCCAAGGTCAAGAAGGAGTAGAAAGATGTGGGGAAAACAGAGAATATTCAGAGAACATTCATCAATCCTCAAAAAATATTAAGTGCCTACTATGTGCCAGACCCTGTGCTAAGTGATTTACAAACAGTAATGTCATCTTATCCTTGCAACAAACCTTGGGAAGTAGGTGCTATTATTTTCCACTTTACACAGATGAGGTAACTGAGGCAGACAGAGGTTAAGTGACTTGTCCAGAGTCCCACAGTTAATAAGTGTCTGAGTCAGCATTTGAACTCAGGTCTTCCTGACTCCAAGACCCATGTTCTATCTACTGTATCACTTAGTTGCCTTCAAGTTTGAGCCTCTACTTTGCTTCTCAGTAAGTGGGTAACCTTGGACAAGTCACTTCCCTTCTCTGGGGCCCAATTTCCTCATTTGTAAAATAACGTAGTTGGATCGGGGTGTTCTAGAGCAAACTCATACCTGCTCACAAGAGCTGATTGTTAAATTTTCAGGGTGAACATTTACACCTCGGAAATCGACAAATGCCACAAAACACAACTGGACTTACTGTTTTGTTGATTGTCTAGCCTTAGGAAAGTGCTGGAGAAAATTTTAATAATGCGTATTTAATTTAAAAACGTGTCGTGCATTTTTGGAGAGCTAGATGTTAAACATTTACCAGTACACACCCGGGTTGGATGAGATGATTTCCAAGGTCTTTTGTAGCTCTAACAATTTTCTTTTAGGGAACTAAGCATTTAAATGTCTAGTTCTAAAGACAGCATATCATTTATTACATGAATAGTTTAAGGAGATATAGTCTTATTGGAATGGGTTCATTCTCCATTGACAGATCCCAACTCCTCCTTGCTTCCAGAAATGATTGAGTGAGTTGCCCTGGCCAAATGAATTTACCTGTTGGCCAAACCATTGGTAATAAGCCTTTCCACACTTAGAGAAAATGCTTATCAAATTTTAGACACATGGCTAGTCATTGGGCTCACATATGACACCTGTCCAGCTGTAGAGTCTAAAGTTATTGTCACTCTACAATGAGGGTACCAAATGAACATATTAAAGCACACGCACATACATATATATGTCTATTTGTATGACTGTATACATGTGAACACACACACATATGTCTATTTGTATGAATGTATATGTGTGTTGTATGAATGTATATGTATATGTATGTGTGAATGTATATGTATGTGTACATACATACACATACACAAAGGCTTTAGATAAATTGAAGGATAACAGAGCCTAGTGGGTTGCTGTGGTAAATTATATTGTCTGCCCCTAACTTCAGGGGTGGTGTCACAAAAGGCAGCTTCCACGTCCATTTGGTCAAGAACCAAACTCCAGGATAGACAATGAGGCTTCACTCTCCCTCATTTGGAAGCATGGTGATGCACCTTGTGGAATGCTCATGGTCCAACAGGGAGGAAAATTAGTTCCCCATAGAGCTGTTCTGCTCGAATGAGGAGGAAGAGAGGCTACCTACCTCTGCTCCTGGGTCACCCTTCTCTCCAGGTTCTCCTTTCTCTCCCTGTGAATGCAATAACTTGGTATGAATACCTATATCAGTGGGAGCCCACATTCAATTTAATTAAATTAACAATTTATTAAAGTGCCCACCACATGCACATTTGTTAAACACCTCAAATCTTTGGCAGATTGGAGCATGTCTAAATGATGATGAACAGGCCAAGGAGGGACCGTGTGACATGAGGACTAGCTGAAGGAAGTTCAGGTATTTAGCCCGGAGAAGATTAAGGGGGAAGGAGATTTGAAGGGCTGGCTTATTTTATACGGTCCCAGATGGAAGCAGTACCATTGGACCATGGAGTGGAAGTCAAAGGTGGCAAATGTTGGGTCAGTATACAAAAGCACCTTTCTGACCCTTCAAGCTGCCCCACTACAGAATGGGCTGTCTCATGAGACTGGAGCTCCTTATTACCAACTGTATGCAAACAGAGGCCAAATGCCATCTATCAGAGAGATGTGATGGACTCAAGCAGCAGAAGGAGACACATTTTTGGACATGGTCAATATGGGAATTTGTTTTGCTAGACTATGTCTATTTGGTAGAAGAATTTTCTTTTTCTTTTTTTTCAATGTAAAGATCTATATGGGAGGGAGAGAAATAGGTTTTTGTTAATTGAAAACTAAATAAAAAATACAAATAAAAATACATAATAAATTTTCAAATAACCATCTATCAGGAGTTCTACAGAAATATTTTTTTGTCTTGGGTGAGTGTTTGCCCAAGATGGCCTTTTGCTCCAAAGATGATGATTATTATAGGATTTAGAAGTGGGAAGACCATGGACATGGTTGACTCCAGCCTCCTCATTTTACAGATGAAGAAATTAAAGCCCAGAGAGCTTCAGTCACTTGCTCAAGGTTCCAAGGTTGCACAGGTGGTGAGCAGGAGGGTCAGAATTTGAATCCAGTTCTCAGACTCCATTTATCCTCTGCCTATTTCCAAAAAGAATTAACACCCCCCCAACCCTATGATTTCATCATCATCAGGAGCTCCCAGGAAGGAAACTCCCTCTAGCAACACAGAAGAACATCCGTTGTGCAGTTTGCAATCTTAGTGAGATTTGCCCAAGATCACACAGTCAATACGGGTGAGAGTCAAGACTTGACCCTGTCTTATTTTCCTGATCCCATGGCTGGCTCTCTGTCTATCACCCCCCTATTGTCTCTATGATTCTGTGAAATCTGGGAATCCCTTAGAGAGGACACTGTAAGCCAGCATGGTGTATCTCTAATCTTTGAAATATTTTCTACAGGAATGGAAACTCACAACATGGAAAGCACCAGTTAGCGGTTAGCGTCACAAAGAACTACTTCCCAACCTTGCCTTGAAGGATGGGGATTAGTGCAGTCCTTGGCTCATGGCTAGGTCCATAGCATGATTCTGGCAGCAGCCAGCAGTGCTCCAGAAGCCGTGATACCCTCCACCTCCACCTTCACCTGCCTTAAGACATCCTCATGGTAGAACTCTCTTACTGTAAATCCTGGGAGCCCAATTGGACCAGGCAATCCTGCGGCTCCTGGTCTCCCTTGGTCACCTGGTTCTCCTTTCTCTCCGGTGGGGCCATCAAGACCCTACAGATGGACAAAGATGGTGGGTTAGTTAGTTAAGCTTGGGGTTGGTTATCTCAAAGTGCTTCTGTAGCATGCATTCATGACTCCCTTCTTTGTTAGGGGTAAAAGGGTGTCCATATCACTGATGGAGGCACAGAGAGGAAGGAGTCCCTCCTAGGCAACTTCTTGTGACGCTAAAAAAAGCAATGCCTGCTCTCTGAGCATGATTTGATAGTTATCCTCAGGCTCCAAAGATATATGGATGAATGAGAGGGCCACCAGATTTAGAGCCAGAAAGAACCTTAGAGGCAATCTAATCCAACCTCCTTATTTTACGAAGGAGGCAACTGAGGCCAAAGGTCACACAAGGAGCAGGTGGCAAGCCAGGATTTGAACCCAGGTCCCCCAACTCCAAATCTTGTGCTCTTTCCAGGACATCAATATTAATGTCTCACACTTGCTTCATGCTTTATTAAACTCTTTTCACCGAAGAGTCATTTCATTAAATACTTAACAATAACCTGGTGTACTGGGCTGGGAAGGTCTGGCTAATCCTATTAACCACTTGTTCATGGAGGCATGGCTAAGTCTCCTGGAGGCAGTGTGGGCAGTGGGCTTGAGAGATGAGGGCCCTGGGTTTGCTGTGTGATCTCAGGCAAGTCGAGTTACATCTCTGGGTTTCATTTTCTACATCTGACAAGTGGGAGGGTTGGTCTGGCTGGAGAAGCAATGTGATTGTTGTTATTATTCAGCTGTTTTTCCTTCATGTCCTACTCTTCATGACCCCATTTGGGGTTTTCTTGGCAAAGATAGTGAAGTGATTTGCCATTTCCTTCTCCAGCTCATTTTACAGATGAGGAAACTGAGGCAAGCAGGGTTAAGTTAATTGCCCAAGGTCACACAGCTAGTAAGTGCCAGGCTGGATTTGAACTCAGGGAGAAGAGTCTTCCTTCCAGGCCCAGTACTTTGTGCACTATGGTGCCACCTAGCTGCCCAAGCAGTGTAGTAGAAGAGAAATAATGCAGTACTCTGCTCTTTACTCCCTTCCCCTCTCTGTGTCTCAGTTTCCTCAGCTGGAAAATGTGAAGGTCGGGTTAGAAGACCTCTGAGGCCCCTTCTAGCTCTGAATTCTCTAATTCCTAAGGTTACTTCCATCTCAAAGGAAAGAAACAGACATTTATTAGGTACTTACTATGTGCCAGGCACTGTATTAAGTGCTTTACCAATATTATCTCTTTTAATCCTCACAACAACCCTGAGAGACAGGTGCTGTTTTATCCCCATTTTATAGATGATGAAACTCTGGCAGGGGTTAAGTGACTTGCACAAGGTCACACAGCTAGTAAGTGCTTGAGGTTGGATTTGAACTCAGCTCTTCCTAATTCTAGGACCTATCCACCAAGCATGCTGATCAGATGATTCTTAGTTCAGTATTCTCTTCACTATACTAAACTGACTTCATTGGGGAAGAAAAGGGAGAAATCTTAATGGTGGTGGGACTTCAACTTTTGGATTCAAATTCTCAGTCCTGAACAGTACTTGACACCACAGGGTGAAATGAAGGGTTCAGTTGGCTTTGACGACAACAACTTTCATTTAAATTTAGAGCTTCAAGGTTTAAAAAGCATTTTCCTTTGAGCTAAGTAGTATGAATATTATTATTATCCTCATTTTACAGATGGGGAAGCTGAGTCTTAGATTTCTGAAGCCCAAGATCACTCAGCTGACCAGAGACAGATCTCGACTCTGACCCTGGGTCTCTGGATTCAACCTCAGGGTACTTTCTGTCATCCTGCTCTGTTTCTCTAAGTGCGCACACTAAAAGTGTGTATTCATAAGCACTCACTGTAAACAGTGGGAAGAGAGGAGGGATGGGGGTGCTGAAGAACAAGGGTGACAAATCATCTTTGCTAGCTTACCGGGGAGCCAACTTGTCCTGCCTCCCCTTTCTCTCCAGGTGTCCCCACATTTCCTTTTTCTCCTTTTAGCCCTGGAGGTCCATCCTTTCCTTGTGGTCCTTGAGGACCGGGGGCCCCCATCTCTCCTGGCTTTCCTCGAGGTCCCTAAAGCAAAGAGAGGCAACTCTTGCTTATATGTACAAATGACAAGATGAATAGTTTAACACATATGTAGAACTTTAAAGCTTACAAAGCACTTTACATGTATTACTACACTGTATCCTCACAACAATTCTGTGAAACAGGTGCTTTTGTGATCCCCATTTTACAGATGAGGAAACTGAGGCTGGGAGAGGCTGAGCAGCCTTCTCTCAAGTTTCCAAATTTAGGTTCACATCTAGGAGTCGGGCTCCACAGATTATTCTTGTCTCCTTAAGTTAGAAGCCATTTTTGGTGGTTTGTCAGGGAGCCGTTGTATGAACCTGGAGATAGGCTCTTACCTTTTCCCCATCATGTCCTGGAGGACCTGGCAGACCAATTTCCCCCTAAAGCAGAGAACAGTAAGAAGTCAGTCTGTTCGAAGACTTTTTCACTCTTTTTTATTGCGACATGAGGACAAGTGTCCTATGGTAGTAATCACCATAGATCAGCAAAGTTGGGGCTGCCATTTTGAATAGTTTTAAAGGTTTCCATAAAGAGTGTCTTGGGTTACTCCTGTCTCTGAGAGAAAAAGTGAACTGATAGGTGGATTTCTGAGGTTAATTTGTAAGCTATTTGTAAAATAGCTGAAGCAGCTCAACTTTGTCTCAGATTCCATAAGAATAAAATTAGAAATCCAAAGGGAATACTAATGGGAGGAGAATCAAGATAAAAAGCAAGAATGACACAGCAGGAATGACAGAAGGAGGAAAATGACTAATAGGTGATGGAAGACTTCAGGTATTGCTGTGGGAGGGGCCACATGTGGGAGGGGTGAGGGGTGGGCTGGTCCTGGGAGAATTATAGAACAGGCACAAAACAAGAGAAGGAAGGCAGCTGCACTTAATGATATTCTGAGATTTCTGGGATTTTTGATGGATTTTCCCCAGAACTGGAGAAATGCTTTACCTTTTGTCCCGGTGCACCAGGAGCTCCTGGGAGGCCCATTTGCCCTGGGAGTCCAGGAGGTCCCTAGAGGAAAAAAAGATGGATCTTGAAGTAGGATCTTTAGTTGAACCAAAGGAAGGTGAATTCTATTCTATCACATGAAGCACTTTTGAAATATCTGAATTCATAAATGCTGGGTAGAAGAATCTGTAAGGCATAAGGTTTTCTCCGCAAAAAATTACATCAATTCATGCTCCCTGACCACTGGTCTTTGGTTGCTCAATTAGCCAATGGATACTCAATGATTACTGTGTGCCTGCCTTGATTTATAGTTGGAAAGGATCTCACACGTCATCTAGTCCAGCACTTCTTTTTTTCTTTTTAGGTTTAAAAAAAATTTTCTTTTGGCTAGGCAATGGGGTTAAGTGACTTGACAAGGGTCACACAGCTAGTGAGTGTTATGTGTCTGAGGTCACATTTGAACTCAGGTCCTCCTGACTCCAGGGCTGGCGCTCTATCTACTGTGCCACCTATCTACCCCTAGTCTAGCACTTCTTAAACTGTGGGTTGCCACCCCATATGGGGTTGAGACCCACAGTTTAAGAAGTGCTGAGAGGGGTCACAAGTGGAAAAAGTTTAAGATGCCCTGATCTAGTCCAAACCCATCATTTTAGAGGTGAAGGAACTTTCACCTAGGGAGGTTAAATGACCAAGGTCATACAGCATTATAAGATCATAGGGCTGGAAAAGTCTTAGAGGTAATTTAATCTACCCTTCCCACTTTATAGCAGAAACAACTAAGGTCCATTGAGGTTATATGATTCACCCCTGGTCACACAGGTGACAGAACCTGGGATTTGAAACCAGATCTTTTGACTTTAAGTCTGGTGTTCTATTCATTATTCTATAGCTGTTAATGTGGCAAAGATGCATTTTTAAAAAATCAATGTGAATTGAAGTTAACTGGATTTGGTCTTCCTTCCATCCTTCCTCCTTCCCTTCCTCCCTCCCTTCCTCCTTTCCTCCCTTCCTCATTCCTCCTTTTCTCCTTTCCTTCCTTTCTTCCTGCCTTCCTTCCTTCCCTCCATCCCTCCCTCTCTTTCTCTTTCTTTTTCTTTGTTTCTTTTCTTTCTCCTTGAGATAAATGAAGACCCCATGAGGTGGTTAATTAACATATACTTACGAATAGTCTATTGTATACAATGCTCCGGTCTAGGTGTTGGAACTCAGAACTAAGGCCAAATGAGACCATACAGAAAGGAGGAAAGTCATGCAATGTTGCTGGGACTGAGGCTGGGACTTCTCTCCTCCTTTACCACATTACCTTCCTCCAAGTTACCAAGGGTAATGTCTCTCATTTGAGCTCTAGAAAGTTAGAGCTGAGGGGGGCCTCACTCATCTCCTTTTCCCCTCCTCTTTGCCCCTCCCCCACATTATATAGAAGAAGAACATGGTGCTTGGAATCCATTTTTATGAGATCCAGTAATAAAAAGAAACATGATGATCTCCTGATGTAATTAGTAGCAGCACCCTGGCCTTCATCATCTCCCCAAACATGAGAGTTTGACATGGACCATTAAGTGATATGTCTACGGAACACTAGGTAGGGTAGATCATGGCCACGGCCTCGGAGGCAGCCTTCTTGACTCCTGGCCTTATGGTCACATTGTCTTGTCCCCTTCTTGTGATTTGAGTCCCCTCCATCACCATTTCATCAAACCTGACTGTCACCTTCCTCTCCCTTCGAATTAGTTATAGACTTCCAAAGGTGAGAAAAAGAAGCCATGGGTGCCAGATCCTGTTCCCTGAGCCAACCCCTGGGCATCTCTGCCCATCCAAAGACAAAGAGGCAGCAAAGAATGGTCACTCACCATCAAGGCCAAAGTTCGGATCTCCTGCAAGACAATCACCACAAAGTCAACAGTTTGACAAATCAAGACTCATCTGAGAAATCTATACAATCACAACATGCCCACTGGTGGGACAAGAGCCAGAATCTCTTAGGTTGGTTTGAGTGATAATGGTGGGTGGTAGGTCTGAGCTACCTTTACATTAAGACTTCAGGATATAGATGTGAGATATCTCCTAAGCAGTCATAAATGGGAATATTTTATTCTTTACTCACTAATCTTTGGCAGGCATAGAATCGTTGATTTAGTGTCGGATGGGCCCTTAGACATCATCCAACCTTCTCATTTTACAGATGAGGAAACTGAGGCTTAGAGGATTTAAGACTTGCCTTGCTTCATGTCACCAGTAAGTCTCAGAGGTGGGTGCCCTGACTCCAAATCTAGCATTCTGTCTGCAGCATGTAGCTCCCATCTATGAGGCAGGCCTTCCCCCAAGCCTTTGGGTTTTTTGTCAGAGTCCTCCAAATGCTGATGCCAGGCTCCTTCTGTTGGAGCTGAAGACCACAGATGCTATTGGAACTAAAGCAGCTGGCAGAGCTGCCTGGGGCAAGGATGATTCTCTTTCCTGTATTTGTGACCATGGCCCCTGTGGGCCTTCACTTTGCTTGTTTGACTACACTAGAGCCTAATTCCAAGGTTTTAACACTGTGTTTCCCTTTTCTTTATTTATTTGGTGGAGAGGAGATGGGAAAGAGCAAAAAAAAAAAGGATGCTTGTCAATCAAAAAGACATAAGGAAATTTAAAATGTGATTCTCTTTATCCCCTCCACTCCAGTCAGGGACTATAAGAGAAAGTATCAGGATTTTCCCCCTGATGCTGCAATTCACAATGGAAGTCAGTGTGGAGGAACTGGGTGAAGGTAACTGAGGGGACCAGAGAGTGGAAGCTTGGTTACCAAGGGTGTATAGAGCTTAAGCATTGATGGTTTTTTGATCTGTGAGTGTGTGTGTGTGTGTGTGTGTGTGTGTGTGTGTGAGAGAGAGAGAGAGACAGAGAGACAGAGAGACAGAGACAGAGAGAGAGAGAGAGAGAGAGAGAGAGAGAGAGAGAGAGAGAGAGAGAGAGAAAGAGAGAGAATAAGCTATGAATGGGACCTCAGGGTCATCTATTCCAACCCCCTCATTTTACAAATGATGAAACTGACTCTCAGGGAAATTAAGTGACTTGTCCAAACTAATACAAGTAGTAATTGTCAGAGGTGGGGTTTGAACCCAAGTCTTCTGTCGGCAAAAGTGTCTATCTGTACAGATGGTGAGTCAGTGAACATGACTGTCTTGATGAGCTTTTGATCCAACTCATTAAAGGAAGAAAGAATTTCTTTTTCTTTTTCTTTTTGGTGAGGCAATCAGGGTTAAGTGACTTGCCCAGGGTCACTCAGGAAAGAATTTCTTAATGTTTTTGGTCATCCACCATTCTACCTCTTCTCTTCCCCTTCTTTCAGAATTCAGATTTCGAGGCACAGATACCTGCCTTTATGCCAAGCTGTAAAGGAAAGTCTGGACCTACAAAAATGATCATTAGATCTGGAAGGCATCTTAGGGACCATCAAATCCAATCTTTACATTTTTATGGATGAAGAGACTGAGGCCTGTGACTTTGGACTTTGTGACTTTGTCCAAAGTCATGTCGGCACAAGCAGCGGGGAAGGGACTTGAACCCAGACCGCCTGATTCTAAAACCAGAATTCTTTCTAGCACACCAAAAATTAGAGGAGTGATTGTTTTACAAAAGAATTATTCTTATAAAAGGATTCATTTCTTTTAAAGAAAAATTATAGGCATTGTTAGCACATTTAAAATACCATTTAATTTGCAAACAAAACACAACTGTTTGCAATGCCTCAGGCATATGTCAGTTACCCTGTACTGAAGAAAACAGGATCCCCTTATTTGTTTTAGTACCGCAGGGCACTAGGAGGTCTCCCGTCCAATGCCTATAGACCAGTTGCATTCAGAGCAAGCTAGACCATAGCGATGTCTTGTCCTGTCTCCCCATTTTATGAAGGAGGACATTGAGAGAAGATGAACAGCAGACATAAGACCTGAACACAGATCCTTTGACCTGAAATCCAAGGCTCGTGCCCTGCTCTCCTCCTCTCCCCCCCTGCCCAAGTCCATTTGGGATGACTTGGAGCCATGGCCCTTCTGATGGGGAAGGAGGGGGATATGAAGGGAGCAGCGGGGACTTCCTGTCCTAACAATTCAACCTAGTAGCCTGGAAGCTGTGGAAATGTCCTGCCCAGGCCTTTCATTATTGGTCTTTTCCTTTTGCAGACAATCCTCATGGCCAGAATGGTTTCCAGAGCCATGATCTCTGCCTCTGACCCCATTGGCACCTCTTAGGCCAGGGAAGATGAGGAGCTTTGGAGGACGGAGGTCAAGGGGAGCAGGGAATCTATTCAGGGTGAGCAGGGGAAAGGAACAAAGATACTGGATGGAGTCGCCAACACCTCTCACCTGGAGAGCTTCATTGATGTTTCCATTGTAATCCACCATTTCTCCTTTGCCTGGCTCTCCCTTGGCACCCTGTAAAACAAACCGGACCCCTGATCAAGATGTCTGGAGCTGCCTGTCCTGTGTCTTCACACGTGGGGCATAAGAACCAAACTGCCTTCAGGCACTGGAGCAGGGTACCAGGGATGGTGCTTTCTGGGGCTGTCACATCGTGACAGAATTTGGATCAAGCCAACCTGACAATACAAATGATGTGACCAGGAATTTGCTCTTCTAGACTGGGAGACAAGAGGCTCCTTCAAGGGAATTCTGGAGCCCCAGAGGCTTGTAGGAAGAAATTCTGGAGCCTCCAGAGAGGTTCCCTCAAAGCAATTCTAGAGGCCCCAGAAATGGCTACCAAGGAAGTCTGGAACTCTTGGACAGGCTCCAGAGAGTTTTCTGCTAGGGCATTCTAGAATCCTTAGGGAGGATCTTGTGAGGGAATTCTGGAGCCTCCTGAGAGGATTCTGTTAGGGAAATCTAGAGCCTCCAGAGAGGCTTCTGGCAAGTGGACGCTGAGACCAACTGTCTCGGTCTTCTTGTCCTTCTCAGCGTTGTGCTCTCTAGCCCAGCACCTTAAAGTGTTTAAGCATCTGGGGGCTGAGAGCCCCCAGCAGGAGGCGATTGGCAGAAAGGTGTTCTCACCTTTGGACCAGCGGGTCCCTGTTCTCCAGGAGATCCGATTTCTCCCTGTAACACAACCAAGGCAGAATGAAACCCATGGATAGAGGGGTACCAGGGTGCTGACTCCCACAAGGTCAGAGCATCAGGGGTGCCAGAGGGCTAATCCTGGCTGTGCCTGATGTCCTAGGGCATTATAGGGAGGATTTTATCCCCGCGAGCCTGGGTTGCATCTGTAAGATGGGAAGACAGGAGCATCCTTCTCCAGTCCCCTGACTGCGTGACAGTCAGGTGGATGCCTTTGTGAAGGTTAAATGTGCCAAGAGATGCTTCCTGCCTCTGACTGTGTGACCCTGGGCAAGTTACTTGAATTGTCAGAGCCATAGCTGACTCTTTAAGACACAAGATTCAGAGAACTTGCATTGTTAGAGGGAACTTCCTCACCAAGAATCCTCCATACTAATAAATCACAAATCTGGTTCAAAATACTGTACCCTCCCAAAATAACCCAAACAAACCCCAAACCCAAATCAACTCAGCAAACAGTCTACCACCAGTCAGGCTGAAACATGCACCAATGAAGCAAGAATCAGATTGATGAAAACCTCAGATTTCAGTGTTTTATCCCCATGATATCATCTGGCTAACACCATAATCCTGTGAGATCTGTAGTCTTTGGCGAGCCATACAGAACTGTCCTAATTGGGGAAAGGCCCAGGTCCAGGGCCTTCATCTTTGGCCTAGGTCTTGGGGGTAGCAGAGACAGCTTCCCTTCCCCACCCTGTGGCTAGAGTCCCTCAGATGACCACCTAATGGCAGTTCCCAGAGGCCAGAATCCTCTGTACCTTGTCTCCTTGCCTCCCAGGAGGCCCCGTCTGGCCACTGGTGCCAGCTTCTCCCTGGAAAAAATGAGAAAAAATATTGTAGGAGGAGACAGAGTAGCTTGGGGTGCTAAGTGAATGGAATATCCTTGGTTTAAGGTCAGGGAAAGTTCCTTTATGCATAAATTTAGAATCATAAGTTCATAGATTTAGAGCTACAAGAGACGTTAGAGATAATCTGGTCCTATCCCCTCATTTTGCAGATGAGGAAACTGAGGCACAGAGGGGTTACAGGGACTTACCCAGAGTCACATAGCTAGTAAGTGACTGAGGTGGGATTTGAATTCAGGTCTTCTTGACTCAAAGTCCAGTGTTCTTTCTACTATTCGACACTGCCTCATAGAACGTATTCTAGTTTTCCTGTGTTTGTGTCTTACTTTCCTACTATGCTCTTAAACACCACAAGAGCAGGGATCGTGCCTCATCTCAGTTACTGACCTCAGCACCTGGCATGTTGGTCTGAATAAAATAAATACTTCAAAAATTTTTGCTGAATGAATGAGAAGAAAGAAACTAACCATCCAGGCAATAAAGCATTGGTGTGGGTGACTGAAGGAGGTTGTGCGGGTCTTATCTTGGGCACCTCATTTCCCCTTTCTGGGCCTCAGTTTCCTTTTTTGTGAAATGAATGAAATGGACTGAATGATGTCTAAGGTTCCTTCTGCTGGTAGAATTGTACAGTTCTCTGAAAGAAGAAACTACTTGAACTGGAAGCACTTTCAAGGTCTTTGCATGTCTCAGGTTGTCGGATTTGTTGATTTTTTATTTTTTATTTTTAGGCACTCGGGGTTAAGTGACTTGCCCAGGGTCACACAACTAGGAAGTGTTAAGTGTTTGGTCTGAGGCTGAATTTGAACTCAGGTCCTCCTGACTTCAAGGCCAGTGCTCTATCCATTGCGTGTTGGATTTATTGAGAAAAGGCCAGGGGAAGGCCAGAGAGGAAAGGGCAGCCTCTCTAGGAGTGGAGCCACGGATAGAGGCTGAAGAAAAAGTGCCCTTTCAGAGGGTCTGTTCTTCATGGAAAAACTCACCTTTGGTCCTGGTGGCCCCGGTATCCCCGGGGGCCCCGGCTCCCCTCGGCCTCCTCCAATGGAATTACCTGCGTCTCCTTTCTCTCCCTGTTGAAGATGCGGAGTTATCCAGGGTCCAGAATGTCACAGGATAACGAGGGAGCAGAGGATGGGGAGGGGCAGGGAGGAAAGGGTGTGGGGAGGACAATGAACTCTAGTCCCATAACACAGGCTCTTACATGGACACAGGGTTTGTGGGCCTTGGCTAGCATGCGGGGTTGGAGGGAAGGAAGATTAGAGAGAGCAATGAAGCAGCTGAGAACAAAGAAAGAGTTAGGTGTGGAGAATGAATCCTCATCAGAAGGTGGGTCTACAAACACTGGACCAGGAAGTGGCTGCAGATTTGCCTTGGATAACCCCCATCTAGGTAGGGATCTCCCCACAATCCCCATGATAGTTCCTAAATTTTCTGACCCTAGCATTTCTTTTGCTCAGAACCCTTGACTGTCTCCCAATAGCCTCTAAGCTAAAATGCAAACTTATCAGTCTGGCATTTAACACACTGACTTTTCCCACCTTGTTTCAAATTTCTCTCATTTTATATTTTATCTTCCACACAAATTACACAACTCACCATTCCTCAACCTCAGACTCCCCTTTCCCATCTTTGTGCCTTTGTCCCCTTCTCCAAAGAAGGAGGACACTTCCTTTGTTCTCTGTTTGTTGAAATCTTTTTCTTCCTTCGATGCCCCAGCTCAGTCATGACCTCAGTCATTTCTCCTACAGCTGAAAGGAATCTCTCCTTCCTCATTTCTTGCTCAAATTTTCTACCTTGATGTCTCCTTTGCCCACATTCTACCTTGTATTATGCCCATCTGCACACATGTCCTATTCCCCTCTTTAGGGTATAAGAAATTAGGAACTGGGTTGTGGTTGTATTTTTAAAAATCACTTTAATTTAATAACTTATATCTTAATTGCCAAGTCTAACGGCATTTTCTCAGTCCTCATCCTGTTTGACCTCTCTGCTGCATTTGACACTGTTGACCACCTTCTCTGTCTGGATGTTCTTTCCTCTCTGCATTTTCATAGTATTTCTCTCTCCTAGTTCTCCTACCTGTCTGACCTCTCCTCAGTCTGCTTTGCTGTGTCTTCATCAATATCATGCTCTGTAACCACAGGTGCTCCCAGATTCTGTCCTGGACCCCCTTCTCTTATTTCTCTTCAATCTCTGTGACCTCATCAGATTTCATGGGTGTAATGATCACCTCTATGCTGCTAATCTATCTATCTATCTATCTATCTATCTATCTATCTATCTATCTATCTATCTAT